CTGTTAGGGTCATCAACTTTCTAATCTCACAAAACCAAACACCCCTCCCCTGCCCCTTCTGAGGCCCCACCCCTTCTCCAAGGCCCTGGCCTCACTTGCTCCATCCCCCCTTCCTCCATCGCTCACTCTCCCCCACCCTCACTCACTTTCACCAGGCTGGGCAGGGGGTGGGGTTGTGGGAGGGGGGTGAGGGCTCCGGCAGGGGGTGCAGGTTCTGGGGTGGGGCCGAGGAGAGGTTTGGGTGTGGGAGAAGGCTCCAGGCTGGGGCAGGAAGTTGGGATGCAGGGAAGGTATGGGCTCTGGGCTGGGGGTGCAGGCTCCGGGGGGGGGGCCAGAAATGAGGGATTCAGGGTGCAGGAGAGGGCTCTGGGCTGGGGCAGAGGTGTGTGTGTGGGGGGGTGAGGACTCCAGCTGGGGGTGCAGGCTCTGGGATGGGGCCAGGGATGAGGGGTTTGGGGTGCAGGGGGGCTCTGGGCTGGGGCCAAGGGTTTGGGGTGAAGGAGGGGGTGTGGTCTCCACCTGGGGGTGTGGACTCTGGGGTGGGGCTGGGGATGAGGAGTTTGGGGTGCAGGAGGGGACTCTGGGTTGGGGCAGGGGTGCAGGAGAGGGTTCGGGGTGCTTACCGCAGCTGCTGGGATGTGGCCACCAGGTCCCTGCAGCCCCTAGATCAGGGGTTCTCAAACTGGGGGTCATGACCCCTCAGAGGGTCACAAAGTTATTACGTGGGGAGGTATCATGAGCTGTCAGCCTCTACCCCCAAACCCTGCTTCACCTCTAGCATTTATAATAGTGTTAAATATTTTAAAATGTGTTTTTAAATTTATAAGGGGGGGTTGCACTCAGAGGCTTGCAGTGTGAAAGGGGTCATCAATACAAAAGTTTGAGAGTCCACTGAGAATCCCTAGATGCATGGGCAGCCAGGGAGACACTGCAGTTCCCATAGGTCATGGTTCCCAACCAATGGGAGTTGCGGAGCCATCCCTCAGGGCCAGGGCGGCGCACAGAGCCTCCCTGGCCGCCCATGCGTCTAGGGGCTGCAGGGAGCCGGCGGCCGCTTCCGGGAGCCGTGCAGAGCTAGGGCAGGCAGGGAGCCTGCTTTAGCCCTGAGCCCCTGCTGCGCTGCTGACTGGACTTTTAACGGCCTGGTCGGCACCACCGCCATGGTCCCTGTTCAACCAGGTGTTCCAGTCAAACACTGAACACCTAGCAACCCTATCATGTGTACGCACGTCCAGAGAGAGAGACTCCAAGAACAAACATGAGCAGTTTCTTCAGAAGTGCAGGCTTTTAAGATCAGGTTAAAAGGGACTTGAATTTTTTTTTTTTTTTTTTTTTTTTTACAAAATGAGCTTCTGCTGCTTATTCTTCTCCCCCCCCCCCCCCCCCCCACTTGTTTTCTTTAAATCTTAGAAATATCAACAATGATCATTCCTGTTTTTTTCCTGGAGAACATATTGGATAGCTACAACTCTGAGCTGTCACACTTTTAGAAGAGCAGTGGTGTCAAAACATTAACAAAATTTCTCTCTTTCCAAATTGTTATTCACAGAAGTTTTATATAAATGTGTTACACACACAACCACTACCCCAATGTTTTGAATAGAGACTTTTTCCCCTCAATTGCTCCACTGTCACTCTCTTGATTCTGTCAGTTGACAAGTTATCAGAGTGACTTTTATACTAGACAAAAATCAATATTGCTAATGTAAAAGCAGGGCAAAATATTTATTTTTAACAGTGTTCAGGCCTTTGTTATGACATGAAATTTTTGTTTTGTTCCTTTGCATGTTGCCTCTAAGAGGTAGCAGAAGGGGGCTCTCTCACACAAACTGGTGTTCTCTCCTCCTTTCTCAGAAATTTAGTAGCAGGGCACTGAAAGGATTTTATTACTTTGTCTAACTCTACTACTGAAAATGACTACGCTAATACACTATTTATAATACTTTGAAGAACTAACATTATCTTGTCAACATACAGTGATGCAATTTTCTCTCTTCCCCTCCCCCCCCCCTTTTAAATAAAAAGTCATCTGTTCGCAAATCTCACTAATCTGCATTGGGTCTTCTGGTCAACAGTGGGTGACATTCACTCAATACACAAAGAATGAGTAAACAGGCTTCATACAGGGTAATCCATGGTGGTTGAGAGTGGAAGGAATTCACTTCCCAATTTGAGGACAGGGTGCATAGCTGCAGCCACTATTCAGCCCCCGATTTAAATGGGGACCACTACCCCTCCCAACACTCTATTTTACAGGGGCCTGTTCACATTCAGCAGAGAACTCACCTCTCTAGCATAGAGATGGTGCAGAGGGCCCCCACAACCTCGCTGAGGGATACCATGGGACTCCTGGGGTGCACAGCCCTTCACCAAGGGGTGAATTTCACACTGGTGAAGTTCTATTGTTATTTCAAAAAGGTCACTATCTGCCCACCCACATACTGATACTATGGGGTATTTTAGTTTTTCCTTTGAGGTTCTTTGTTCATGCTATTCAATACCACTCTTCATAAAGACTAAGAAAAGTTTTCTTACTTATTAATTGTAAATTAAGTTCTCTATATAGATAAATGTTGCTTATGAAGCAGTATTAGAGATTTTGTTCCACAGTTTCAGATCTCTCTGCAAACAAAAACGTGCAGGCACCTGTGTGCCTAATTTGCACACACAATCACCACACTTGCATTGATAACCAAGTAAACTGGACAAAGACATGACCAGTTAGACACCTACCTTTCACAAGCAAACTGTAGGAACTGTGTGCACAAGTCAGGTGCACACATTTTTGAACATCCAATTACACACATTTTAAAATCTAGGCCACATTGTTTTGCAGTTGTATCACAAATAACTGACAATAGTGACCTTTGGGGGGAGGGATAGCTCAGTGGTTTGAGCATTGGCCTGCTAAACCCACGGTTGAGAGTTCAATCCTTGAGGGGGGCATTTAGGGAACTGGGGTAAAAATCTCTCTGGGGATTAGTCCTGCTTTGAGCAGGGAGTGGACTAGATGACCTCCTGAGGTCCCTTCCAACCCTGATATTCTATGATTCTATGACTTAATCCATACCGTCATCACCAGTGGCTATAAAACTACCTAGAGAAAAAAATGTGATCTCACTGCACCCCTATTATACGTTTTAGCTCATTTTAAAGCTTTACAGTGACATGGAAACAACTGTAATATTTTTGGAGCGTAAGGTAAAAAGACCTATAATTTAATATAAAAGTAGTTACAAACATTTTATGTTTTAGGCCCCAATCCTGCAAGTGAGATGTCCATTGGTGGACCCTATTAATTTCAGGCTTCATTGGGCTTGCCCACCTTTGTGTACATTGCAGGATCAGGGCCTTAGAGTGCACCAAATGGAAGTATATAAATATGGACATAATTTGTTAGAACTGTGATGTACAGACAAGATATTACAAGGTGGATGGCTAAGTCAAATCCAACTGCAATTAAATTAAAAAAGTTGTGACCACAAATGTTTTTTAAAAAACAACTGATTAATATTATTTCCTCTGAACACTTCCAATATTTTACTTAAAGTTGTATGTATTACAAAACTTTTAAACTAAGGAGGCTATGACACCAATAGATGGTAGATGTCCCAGTGATAAAATGCTGCTTAGAAATTGTTTATATTGTAAATATCCCAAGTGTGAAATAATCTAACATTCCTGCTGGTGTTTCATTTTGTTAACTAGAACCATAGATCAGATGTTTATATCTGCCTAGATAAAAGAATGCAAACAATTAAATAAAAATAATTATATTTAATGAAGTGTTATTTCATTCTTTGGCTGCTTTGTCTCCCTGCTGCCCTAATTTTTCTAATGAATGTATTTTTTAATCGGTACCAGTTACACACACTATTACAATTCACAACTAGATAGTACTCTATTTTACATGTAATTTGGTATTTTTACTTTACAGCCAATTCTTTTCAGAGGCTGAGACATACTTGTCTTAATTATATTTAACATTCTTAGAACAAAAGCATCCTCTGCTTTCCTCCTCCCCCATGGATGTTTGATTGCACTCCACAAAATAGGATTTTGACGTGTCCACCACCTATAAGTCATTAGTGAAACATCGAAAAAATATAGAACTATGCTGTCTATACTTCATTCAACAGCTTCTAGAACAAATACAACTTCGGCATTGAGAACTATTGGTTAGAGCCTTCCCACATGAAGTCAACACGAGGGATCTCTATAGATTTCAGAGAGAAGTGAATTGTAGCCTATGTCACCATGGGTTTGTGTGGGATGGGTCTCTCTTTTTTAAAAATAAAAGTTTAAAAAGAGTATAAGATAGTTAAAGAAAAAATTATCTATAATCAGTCACAAAAAACTAGAGTAGTCCACATTTGTATATCTTTGTATTTCTGTTTTAAAGAGGCTTCTGTTTCTATCACTCCTGTCTAATAGCAGGTTTACAAAAAAAACAAGTCCCTGTAAGCATTTGTATTAGGAAATTCCTAAGCAACTCAACATTGTGTCATTTTACACACAGTCTTACTTTTCTCCAGCTCCCCTGTAAGTTTTGTAGAAATGGTCTGACATTCTATGTAGACTTTTGTTGGGAAAAAGAGGGACAGCTATTGGTACAAGTATATATAAAACCCCAATTATCTACAAACCACACGGCAAAGATAAGATAAATCCTGTTTTTTCTATCATTACTTCCCTTTTTTTTTAAAGTCATCTTTAACTTTAACATGAATAAAATTAATTTATAATGTAAGCATGCAACCAAGCTTTATGCAAAAGATTATTTGAATTTATTTGTGTATTATTCTTAACACAGTATGTCTGACTGAAATTTTCAGTATTAGTCTGGAATAAAGACAAAAATATTTTGTTAGAATATAATTTAGAAAAAATGCATCTTTCTGTATACAGTAGGATCTTGCTAAGTTGCACACTTTATAATTTTCATGCACATAAGAGAAAGATCTCATGACACTTTTCAACAAAAATGTATAGCCCAGAACTGAAGTGTGGTCTAATTTATTAACACTTCATTATTCATACAAAAAACAGTACTGCATGGGTTTTCGTTAGTATACATTGTTCATAAATACACTAGTTCATTTAATTTGAAAATAATATTCTGGTGATACAGTTTATTTGCTTTATTATTGTTGGTTCACTTAATCACAAATAGGTGATGGGTCTCCTGGTAACTAAGCAAAGCAGCAAGCTTGTACAACTGAATATGTTTTAAAAATTACATTTAACTCATGAGAATGTTGCATTTTAAATAAGAATTAACCTAGGGTAAAATCTTATCATGTAGTTGCAAACAAAGTTAACAGTCCTTTTAAGAAAGACACTATTTCATTGCCTCCCAGTTTAGATTCTCCATAGACACGGTCCACAAATGATATAGGAACCTGTTAAAAAACAACAAAAACCACAAGAACAATTTATTCTAATTATTTTAGGAATTTAAGTTAATTAATATAAAGAAAATACAGCTTTAAATCTATTATGCATTTTATATTACATTTAGCACAATTAGTATGTTCAGAACACAACATATTATCATTAAAAAAAGTGAAACTATTACAGATTTAAATATGTAGTATGCTGGTTGTGTTAGCAAAGCTACTGTGCTTTTCCACATGGAGACCAGAATAGAAGACTGGTTCCTCAGGTTGGCAGAGACTTAGCAACAACACCTGTAGTCTCCAAAGATGGATAGAATCTGCATTGGTGGTTCCTAACTTTTGTTGTTGGAGCCTCTCCTAGCAACTGATTTGTGGATGAATGCCATCTTCTGATGTCCCTGAATGCTGTGCTAGGTATAGTTGTGTCTGGTCTCACTGTATTGCTTTTTTTGTCTTCCATTTTTCCCCCCTTTAGTGTGGATTTGTCTTTTGTTTTTTTTTAATCCCTTTCTGATCCATCATCAGAAGGCTACATGCTGCATAGGATGGATGTCCATTAACAGCCTCATACATGTCTGGGCTGCCTGTGCTCTCATTGTTTAGTGCCTTAGGAGCAAAAGGAGAAGAAAAGAGCAGCTCAGGTTTGTGAGCTGCTGCCTGAGCTCACAGCCCTGATTAAGTGAGCTTCCCTCGTGGATAACTACATTAAGAGCTGCCACAGAAACAGAGAGAAAGGCTTAAAGGAATGCGCAGCACTTTCCCTACAGCTGTGAGAACATGCTTGTAAGGGAAATGGGGCAAATATCTGGGATCATGCTGCTTTCTTTATCATCACTGTTCTACCCATCAGTCTTAACTGTGCCTCAAGGTTGAGATACTAGAGTGTATGGTTGATCACACCTAGAGACAGGTCTAAAGATATTACTCTATCGTTAGCCACTGAGTTTTCTGAACAAACTGTTCTCAAAGATAGGATCAGTGAAATGTACACCCAAGGGCTCACAACATGCTGTGAAGTCCCAACCAACCTCCTTCTCTAAATTTCTACTGGGTCAGTGAGGCAAAAGTCCATTGGGGTGGTTTAGGCAGAGACTGCCATAACCGGAAATGGCAGAGTTAAACAAGTACTTGCTTGATGCTCCAACATCAATTCCTCACCATTGGCAAGAGGAGGATCATGAAGTGGCCTTCTGCTCAACTTCTCTGACATAACAGACACAGTAATTGTATTCAATGCACATTTGGTACACAACATCCACTTGGGTCTATGGATCTTCAACAAGCGGTTTATGTTATTCTTAGAAAAAAAGTTGCTTAAAATACAGAATTTTTAGTTCCTTCAGTTATACAAACTTATTGTCCAATTCACTTGCTGTTCATGAAGGTTATAAACATATTGCTTCACCTAGGTACTTCCGTCTGTCCATTATTTTGCCAGAGTGATATAAATACATTAGAGCAAGAGGAAGACCAAGGACTAAGTAGGCCCATTATTCAATGAGGAGGGAACGACAACAATGGAAAAATGAAGCAACGGCAGAAGTGTTAAATGCTTTTTTGTTTCAGTTTTCTCCAAAAAGGTTAGCAGCAATGGGATGACTAACATAGTGAATATCTGTGTAACTGGGATAGGATCTGAAGCGAAAGTAGAGAAAGGACAAGTTAAGAATTATTTAGACAAGTTAGATGTCTTCAAGTCAGCAGGGTCTAATGAAATACATCCTAGAATACTTAAGGAACTAGCTGAAAAGATTCTGAGCCATTAGCAATTTTCTTTGAGAACTTGTGGAGTATGCGAGAGATCCCAGAGGACTGAAAAGGGCAAATATAGTACCTAACCCATGGAATTATAGACAAGCCAGCTTAACTTCAGTATTCATAAAGATAATGGAACAAATAATCAGTCTGTAAACACCTAGAAGATAACAAGAACAAATCATATCAAACCAACCTAACATCCTTCTTTGACAGGGTAACAACCCTTGTGGATGGGGAGAAGCAGCATATGTGATACATCGTGACTTTAGTAAGGCTTTTGATACTGTTTCACATGACATTCTCATAAGCACACTAGGGAAATATAGCGTAGAGGAAGCTATCAAAGTGGGTGCACAACTGGTGGGAAAACAGTGAGAGTAGTTATCAATGATTCACAGTCAAGTTGGAAGCGCATATTGAGTAAGGTCTCGTAGGGATCTGTCCTGTGTGTGGTTCTATTCAATATCTTTCTAAATAATTTGGATAACGGTATAAAGAGTACACTTAAAAAGTTTGTGGATGATACCAAGCTGGAAGGGGTTACAAGCACTTTGGAGGACACATTTACTATTCAAAATAATCTTGACAAATTGGAGAAATGGTCTGAAATAAACAGGATGAAATTCAGTAAGCATATATGCAAAGTACTACACTTAGGAAGGAATACTCAATGGGAAATGACTGCCTAGGAAGAAGTACGGCCAAAAAGAATCTGGGGGGGTATAGCAGATCACAAACTAAATGAGAGTCAAAATGTAATAAATACTGTTTCAAAAAAAGCAAACATCATTCTAGGATGTACTAGCAGGAGTGTTGTAAACAAGACACAAGAAGTAATTCTTCCACTCTACTAAGCACTGATAAGTCCTCAGCTGGAGTCCTGTGTCCAGTTCTGGGAACCACAGTTTGGGAAAGATGTGGACAAAATAGGAGGAAGTCCAGAGGAGAGCAACAAAAATGATTAAAGGTCTAGAAAACATGACCTATGAGGAAAGATTGAAAAAATAGGGTTTGTTTAGTCTGTAAAAGAGAAGACTGAGAGGGGACACAGTCTTCAAGGTATGTAAAAGTGTGTTGTAAAGATGATGGTGATAAATCATTCTCTTTATTCACTGAGGACAGGACAAGAAGCAATGGGCTTAAACTGCAACAAAGGGAGACTTAGGTTAGACTGTCAGGGTAGTTAAGCACTGAAACAAATTATCTAGGGAGGCTGTGGAATCTCCATCACTGGAGATTTTTTAAGAACAGGTTAAACAAACACCAGTCAGGGATAGTCTCGATAATACTTAGTCCTGCCTCAGTTCAGGCGACTGGACTAGACGACCTATCGAGGTTCCTTCCTGTCCTACAATTCTATAAGAACTCTTAATATTTTAATACAAAAGCATGTGTTAAATAAGAATACTCCAGGGCCCAAATTCAACAAAATTGACTGTGCAGAAGAATATAAAATAAAAAAATTGGATCTGCACTCAACTGGCAGTTTCAATCAGAAATCAGGTGGCATGTGTAATACAAATACACACCACACCCTTGTTATTGTGCCAGAACTGAGTATGTCTCATCTCCAGGCACAGCTGCCTATGCCAAAAGAGAGGCCAAGGCAATCATCTGGCAGATACAGTTCTACTTCTCACAACAAGAACAGCTAGCCAAAGAAGAACATAAACTAAGACATCCAACAAACTCCCCCAGCTTTCTCACTAGGATCCCTTTGACAACATTGATAAGCACCTCAATAGTTATATTTAGCTGGGCTAGGAAGGAAAAAAAAAAAAAAAAAAAAAAATCAGTAACTCCATGCTGGAGAGGAAGTCAGTGCAAGATGCTTAAAGTGGGATGGCATTCCATGAAGAGTGAAAAGCGAACATTTTGTATTCACAAGCCATCCAACATCACAGTATCTGAGGGCTCAATATGGTATCTCAGGGCACAATTTTCTCTACAGAATTAGAATTTACCTCCTAAACTGTTGCTGGACTACACCTTCTTGTTCAAGAGCATGTAAATCATCACCATTTAAAAATATGACATAGTGCAAAAGCCGTAACCCTCATACCACTAGAATGTGCATCCTGTGCACTGAAATGCATTTCACACCTGGTACAAAAGAGCAGCAAAATAAAACAGAGAAGCATAGGAGACCATCCAGGTATGGCATATGCCAACTCTGCTTCACACCACACAACTGTTCTCTTTTGAGTTGGTAGATATCAACTATCTTTAATATGATAACTTGGCCATGAAAAGAAAAACTTTAAAATTCAGTAGTAGTCAAAGTATGCACAGAACTGAAATCCTAATCTTCGTGTGCAGATTCTGCAATGGTGTGAGCATACACATACACACAAACATGCCTAATTTAGACCCTAGCATCTGCAATTACCCAATCTGCATGCACATCTATTTTTCTGAAAAATCAGGGCCTTAAAGATCTGTATCTAGATAAGCATTTCCAGGAAGAATCTGTCAGAAACAACAAATATTTCTATGGTTCTAATATATAGGATTTAAACCTCATTTATACATTTTAAAATGTGTCATGAGTGCCTAGAGCTTGAGGATTTATCATCATTAATTTTGGCATTACCATAGCACCTAGGAGCCTCAACCATGGACCAGGACCCAATTGTGCTAGGCACTACAAAAGACTGTCACTGCCCCAATCTAAGTACAAGACAGGAGGCAGACAGACAGAAGGGGGAAGTACAAGCAAACAAGAAGACATTGTTGGTCAACATAAGTAGCCTAACTGTTACGTATTTTTTAGGCATCCTGGCAAAGGAGAGTTTTAAGGAGATTTTAAAGGAGGATAATGAGGTAACTTTGCGGATGTTTTCAGAGAGCTCCTCCCAATCGTGAGAAACTACAAAGAGGTCTGAAAATTTAGCAAGTGGACAATGGAAGATAGGAGTTGGTGCAAGGGAGATCAAGAGTAGGGATGGGTTGGGGACCCTGGACAAGTGGAGAGGAGAACGGAAGAGAGCAGATGAGAAACTTCTGCATCTGACAGGAGAGAAGGAGAGAGAGCGTTACAGAAGGGGAAGGAAAAGCAAACCAAGGGGACAGAGAAGGTCATATCATATTTTGTCAATTTTCTCTTAGAAGAATTATGCAAGATCCTGCACAGAGAGACAAGTGGAGGCAGGAGGTGAAGGTCTGAAGAGTGAGTCAAAGGTGGCAAATTTCAGAGTAGCAGCCGTGTTAGTCTGTATCCGCAAAAAGAACAGGAGTACTTGTGGCACCTTAGAGACTAACAAATTTATTAGAGCGTAAGCTTTCGTGGGCTACAGCCCACTTCTTCGGATGCATCCGAAGAAGTGGGCTGTAGCCCACGAAAGCTTATGCTCTAATAAAGGTGGCAAAAAATATCAGCTATGATTGCAAGTGTGGGATTTAATTATGTTGGAGAACTAGAGTTGTGTGCATAACCCCCTTAGGCTTATTTGAGAATCCCAGCCTATAGCTTCAATGATACTTCCTATGAGTTCTTGTTCGGCAGTTTCTTTGCTTCTAATAGCCCATACCCACATTTACAGTATAAAATTGAACTGATTTTCTATGCTTTTACTGTACCTCTCCAATAGTGTATCCTAACTGTCTAGCTCGAACAATCATCTCCATCTGGAAGACATATCCTTTAGAAACACATTTTTCCATTAGTTTCTGCAAGACCTCCTTTCTGTATAACCTGTAAATTGAAATGAAATTGAAACCTGTGGCAAAACTTTGGATTTCAGATACAAAGATAACATATACAGGCATTGTACTTACAGCCTACCCACATTACAAGTGTTTAAAAATAGTCACTAGAAAGTTTTATGACTCCAATCCATCTTTCTTTACTCTAATGGATGTCATAGTTCCCACTACGTATTCTTGGCTAGCAATTGAGAAAATTTTAATACAACTTCATAATTATATTAAAGAAAAAAAAGAAAAAAGAAAAAAAAAGAGGCATGTACCTGAAACTTCCTGTTAAATCTGATGCACCTGGTCTCAACAAAACCTGAGTTACAAAGTTGGCACCACGACTGTCAAAGAGGATATGCATGTCAATAACCACTCAAAACAAAGTTTAGAAAGCACAAGCAGGGTTTCCACAAAAGAATTTACCAGTTTAACATAAAAAAGGCAAGCTTTTATTGCTTTATATGGAAAGTTATATAACTAAATAGGTTTTCACTGCACTAGACTTGATTAATAAATGTGGAATTTGAAGTAAAAAACGTTTAGATCAGTAAATACACATTTTGCTTTTCAACTGGAAGTGAATATACAGATAACTGAATATTCTTTAAGAAACAAAACGCTGTTTTAAAAAGCCAGATTTACTATCCTTTTACATGTTTATAGCAGAATCATCATATACAACCACACATTATACTGCATTGTAAAGCAAATTGCAATACAAAATATTTTGCAATATAATTTTAGACAGATTAGTCCTCTGCTTGGATCATGTTCACCTGTAAGGGGAGGAGAATGATGGCCTAGCAGACAGGACATTGAACTTAGATGTAGAAGATCTGTGTTCAAATCCTGGCTCAGGAAGATTTCTGGTGTGACTGTGGGCAAGTCATTCCTAAGGTCTCACGACTTCATGTATAACTCTGTAGCTCCAAGCACACTTTGGACTCTAGACAGTAATTATATATAGCCAATATATGAACAGAATCAGTACATTCCACTTCCTCCAGGCTTTTGCTCTAGTCAATCTGGTTTGGTTGGCAGGAAGAGGAGGATAACTCATCCTGCCATTCCTGATTTTTTTTTTAATTATCAGAAACTTATTAATAAGTGAATAGACTGATGTGAATTGTTTGAAGTGTACAAAAAAAAAAGTCCATTTATTCTAAGGTATCCAACTCTTGCTTTGGGGTTCCCATTTAGTTTTTACCTTATCCAATTAGCTAGCAAACGAGTAGTCCCTCTCAAAGAATGCAGCTCTTCTCTTCAGATTTAACATTGCTACAATATTATATCGCCCTGAACTCTACAGCAGTTTCCAGTCTAAGAATGATTGTTCTATCTTCATCAGTTCCTGTGGGGTCTGACTTAAACCCAAGAGGAAAAAACACCCACATCACCTGAAGCTTACAAGGACCTCTGTGTAAGCTCAAAAACTTGTCGCTCTCAGCAACAGAAGTTGGTCCAATAAGAGACATTACCTCCCCACCTTCATCTCTCATAAAAATAAAATAGCCATTAAAATAAAAAAAACCCTAAACATAATAGGTGTGGTGGCAACGCCTTTTCAAAATGATTACCAGGGCTTCTTCTCCCAATTCTTTTGAGGACCAACTGAGTCAGACTTGTTTTGAGTGAACAGACCTTAGACAAATTTGAGAAGAGCAAGATTTTATATGGAAGAAAAATCTACCCCTGCTGATTCAGCCCTCAGTGACTACAAGTCCACCACAGAATTCAGAAGCTGATCTCCATGTTCATATGTGACTTATATATAGCATTTTTATTTTATCTTCTCTTTTTTTTCCTAAAGATTTCCAACTGTCCATAGTTAGAACTGTATTAGCCTTTCTGGCAAGATCTAAGGAATGGTTTATATAGGCTGGTAATTAATTTTAACATGAAAACTTGTTAGATAACTCTTAATAAATGAAAGACAATATTATAACCAAAAGGAGATTGAGGGGTTTATTGTCCCTGGGAAAGGCCAGCACAGTCTTTAAATGTAAAGGTACACACCTATGAACTTGGAAGAAATGCAGCAGTGTTCTATTTGTGGCAAGGAAGGGAAATAGGAAATAGAAGCTACTGTTCTATTTGTGGCAAGGCGAAAAATTGTCCCAAATTGATACACTGCAGATTTACCCACAGTAGTGTTCCAAGTCTGACCTAAGTAGTCCAATTTCCCCAAAGAGATCACATGGTTAATTTTTTTCTTGATGTTTTCTTAGCCAGAAAATTTCCAGGCATACAAGTTTCTATTCTATTATTAAATATGATTTTGTGATGAGAAGTACTGTTCTGTTTAAAGTACTTATACGTCCAGGGCCGGCGCAACCCATTAGGCGACCTAGGCGGTCGCCTAGGGCACTAACATTTGGGGGTCAGCGACCGCGGCAGCGGGACCTTCCGCCCTCTCTGTCGGGGGCGGCATTTCGGGGGCGGGACCTTCAGCCCCTCTGTCGGGGGCGGGACCTTCCGCCGCCTAGGGTGGCAAAAAAGCTGGCGGCGCTCCTGTATACATCCCCGCATCACTGTTTTATCTTAGTGCCTCACAGTCTTTATTCTAAACATCTTTGGGAGGTAGGGAAGTGCTATCCTAATTTTACAAATGGGGAACAGAGAGGCTAAGTAACTTTCTGTGTGTGATCCTGGGCAAGTCTCTGGTGGAGCAGGGAATTAAGGCCGGATTTCCCAAGTCCTAGGCTATAATGCCTTAACCACTGGACATTCTTTCCTAGTCATTTGAGATCTAGTCCAGTTCACACAGATCGGCAATTTAGACTCCCGGGAAGGGGGAGACCCAGAGATGAAAATTTATCGGTTGAGAGTGCTTTTCTTTGAAATTATTGAAAAAAGTTTGAGCAGCAATTTTCTTATCTGCAAATATATAGGTAAAAATACTAACCTGATTATTTTTCTTTTCAAATCCCAGCCATACACACCTCCATTTCCTTTATACCGAGTTCCAGACACAATATCAAAGTTACCTTCTTTTTGCTTTCTTCAAGAAATACAATTTATTTCAAACATGAAAAGTCATTGTATCAGTTTAAAACAAATTTATATTTTATAGACCTTCAAACAAGGTGGGATAGAAGTTGGCATGAAGGCAATAATTATGTTGGTTATAAGCACTATACATTTATGTACCTTTTTAAACCACTCTCTTTACATTCTTATAAAGCAGGACTATTTCAGAGCATCTTGTGATGCTTTTTACCATCTATCTCATAGAACTTCAAAGACTGCTTCATGAATAATTTATCTAGACCTACTTATTTTAAAAAGGCAAAAGAAAAATTAGACTCCAATGTAAAATGGAGATTTTAAAAAAAATACATATTAAAATATTTAAATAACACAAACTGACAGTAACAAGGAAATTAAAAGATAAGTCTGACACTATCCTGCACCCCCCCACTGTACATAGCTCTGCAGGATATTATATAGAATCCATTGTTTGAGATCTTCTGCATTACAGCCCAGAAGGAGGAAAATTATAAACAGAGTGACACCCTTAACTTTGAAGGTACTTGCTCTCAATTATTTTTGATCCAACTTTAAACGTTAAGAAAAAAAATGTTCCATAATTAGGGAGAGTTAACTCTATTTTGTAACTGGGTAGTGTAACTTTTAACAGAGATCACTGACTCACTCTGGAAAACAAAACTTTTGTTCAGGGACTGTTATTGTAAAATAAAATCTAGTTTTAGTCTTTAATTGTTTTGACTGATCTTTTAACTATACCTATACCTCTATTCTCAAAATGATAAATAATAGCTATAACTGTTCTATCTAGCTATCTGACAAAATTTTAAGTCTGGCTCTACTCTGATAATTAATAACTGCATTGAGGAGTTTCATGATTATTGTTTATCAGTGACACCATATCAAATATCCTCAGTTTGCAAGTAAAAAAATGTTTTTTCTTCAAACTGGAAGCCCTGCAAAAATCAACCTAGGATCTCTCCTTCTTGTGCATCATCACTTGAAAACCAAATTCCACCTCAATTACACACGTACAACCCCATCGCCTTTAACTAGTTTGCAAAGGTGTAACTTATTAAACACATCTACTGATGATGCACTAGCAGGACTAGAATCCAACTCTCTCTCTTCACTATCCTGGCTCCTGCAGGGACAACAGGAATACAAAGCAGTAAAAAACTTAATTTAGTCATTCAACTCAGCATCTCTAATGCTAACTGTAGAGTAAGAAGATCCCATTTTTACTAAGTTACTTTTCAAAGTAGAACCAGTTAAAGGAGAAACATAAGTGCTTAGTCACACATTCTTTCTTCCTCTAAAGACATGTTCTTGTAGTCCTTAAACAAATAAAAACTTCCATTGAAGTCTATGGGAGTTTTGCCGGAGTTAAGGGTTAATGTCTGTGGTACTGGTACTTTAGAAATATTTGGGTCTTATTAGAGCCACCCAAATCCTTGCCCTGACTATGTTTCTTGTTGCAGTTGCTTGAAACAGCTTTTTTGATTCAATGAGGTAGCTATACAGCAATGGAAGGTATTCAAATGTTAACATAGAACTTCAACAGCTTAAAAGTTATACTCCAAATATTAAAAATGGTACCCACCTGATGAACTCTGGAATAAATTTTGGCTGAAAACAGGCAGATGGGTGGGAAAAGAAGAAAAAGAAAAACAGTCAGTAACAATTAATTAAAAACACTTACCAAAAAAAAAAAGGACCACGCAAGATATAAACTTACATGGTGCGAGAGGTCCGCATCCATGATAATAATGAAATTCCCTGAGGCATGCTGCATTCCATGAATATAAGCAGTGCCTGGTGAAGACATCAGAGAAATAATTTCTTAACATGCACACAGGTCTCTAGGCAGATTCAATCTTTCTACAACGTCTCAATTATATTACAAAAGCGGATTAAGTAAATGCTCCAGAGTTTTTTGTTTTTGTTTTAAATAGGATAGAAAAAATCATCTTAATGTTTGAAGATTAATGTTTCTCCAATAATTTCAGTACTAGATTCCAAAAGTGTAAAACTTTGCAGGACAAACTTCACTGCAGTAGAAATAACCAGAAAAACATCACTTGGTAAATGGATAGCCAATACAGGTAAGATTTTCCACAGTGCCTAAAATACTCAAAAATAGACTTACGCACCTAACTCACTCAGTTGCTTTTGAAAATTTTACCATTGATCTTAAAGCTTCTTCTGATTAACTACTACTTTGTTCAGTCAGTCAACATTTATGAAAATGCTCCATCTGATGCCTAAGCTAAAAATCTTTCCTTCCTCAATTTAATTTTTTTTTTGTTTTAACCACATTATGTGAATCAGTTCATCTATATCAATAAGAGACAGAACAAGTTCAGGTATCCAAGTTTCTCCTCAAGAAGGCCACTTTCCGATCTCAGTGATGCTGTTTTAAGTCCACATTTTTTCCCAATAATGCTACAATGGCATAATTGAAATCAAAATCTGGCACATGGTCTTCATTACCTCAGATTAACTTTGCTGTCCTCCTAGAAATTTTCCAAAATGTAAATGTCAGTTTTTAAAAAGCATGCATCCAGATGTGGACCTTGGTGCCCATATCAAGCATTTACACAGGGAATTCTACTTCTAGTTAATGAACAGCTCATCTCTTGTCTCTTTCTCATGACGTTTGCAAAATTACAAGCCAGGAATGTTACTGATCCATGTAGTGTATATAACTAGTAAATAAACTTATTACAGGAAAGACAGGGTGCATTAAAAACTCTGAACCAAGCCAATTTTAATAAATATAAATAAATATAGGACTTTGTTCTTTGAAACACAGAACAGAGGATCACAACCAAGGTCAGGATAAAAATTAGGTAGAAAATAAAAAGATACCTAGGTTTCTTAGGGCCTCATATCTAAATGAGAATATAAAAGGTGAATTTAAATACAGACAATTCAGTATCAAGACTTAGAACTTTGTTCCCCTTTTGGGTATTGGCACATACCATAGTTAAACATTTCCTGTGGTACAAGTAGATTAACTGCACAATATTCAATCAACAGCGCACCTGAAATACTTCACCAGCTTGTGGGAGTGTCGAGATTCAGTAAGAGACAAATACTGATTTTCATTAAGTCAAGTAGGTAAGTTGTGTTCCATTGCTTTTTTCATTTCAATTATTGGAGGTGAAGAAATCTGGCCTGAGTCCGAACAGACTAATCTTCCCCCACTATGTTTTGTGATAAATGTTTAAACTTGAGTAAAAAAATTATCAAATGCTTAATTTTTGCCTTTTTTTTAAGTAACAATGAAAAACAGACATGGTCTGCATATTCCTTGAGTAGTAGTAATGAGTCAATGGTGGAGTTACAGAAGGCCCAATCTTGATCATTTAAATTCACAGCAATCTTAGAATTGACTACAGTGGTTCAGGATTGGCCCCAAAAATAAGACTATATCCTGGTATGTGATAATCAACTCTTGTAATGTGCCTAAAAGACTTCAAATAACACTGAACTTAATAGGGGACTTCAAATAACACTGAACTTAATAGGGGAGGATGGTGCTCAACAACTTGCATGACTGAATCCTCAAGGGAAATGTATGATTTGAATTACAGTAGTACCAACATGTCCTGTTAAACTGATCCAAGCCACAATAAGCACTGTACAAACACATAGTAGGAAAGAGTCCCTGCTCTGAAGTCCTTAACAAATTAAGGTCCCAGTTCTGCAATTTGCTGCACATGGGTAGACTGTTACACTTGCGCAGAGCCCTAGTGACTTCACTGAATCAATGGGGTACCATGTGAGCACAGCAGTCTGCCCACGTACAAGTGACAACTTGTCTAAATTTAGGACCCGACTGCATAATAAGTAGGTGGAGCAGGGGAAGGAGGATGAGCATAGTAACTGTTTTCCTGCTACTATGTAGACTGGCCAAGACCACAATTTGCAGGTTTGAGGTTGTGGGGAACTTGTTGTAAGTTCACTATAATATAACGTGTGTGGTTTTTTAAATCACTGCACATTGGTTTGCTTATAATTACTTGATGAAAACGTTTATTTCTGTCTGAGGGTTCCACTATGACTCCTCCTATGGAATGTTACAACTAAAAACCAAACAAAACAGATAGCAGGAAGTTTTACTCTAAACCAGAAGCTTAATGAGTACTTACCCAATCCCAGCTTTTTTGCTCTGGGCCTTAGAAGCTGCAAGATATTTGGGGGGGGAGGGGATTAGGCCATAAATTAATAAAGTTATATTAGCTGAGACTACAGTTTCTCTCACTTTCAGTGACATGCCACCATTACATAGCTCAAGATGCTGAACCAATATTGAAAGAGATCCTTTTCCTTTAAATATTTAGATACTACAGAGAATCAAATTCATCTAAGGAAAGACAGGTTCAACGGAAACATTTATATTAACTGGATATATAAACTAGATTAAAAGCCAATCTATTTTAAATTTTACTGAAGAACTGCTATGTAAGGAAGTCATTCCGGTTGTTTTCTTAAGCCTCTCCTCCCCCAATACCCACTGTTTGAAATACCCTCTTACAAAGCTGAACACACAATTTCCCCCCACCAATTTTGTCGGGTGACAAATATTAAGAGGTAATATCTGAGCAAACTCTTGGAGTGACTTAAGATAGTCTGTACTGAATATACACTTTTTACACACAAGTGTAATTCAGCTTAATAGTCACTCATCTTACTGAAAATCATCAGTAAGATTTTATTTGGATGACCTACCACCTCCTTGATTCTGTGCTGACCATTCTCAGCTCCCATAGAAGCTGAGCCTCCCTCTGACACCTCACAAGTCTAGGTTTCTAGGCCAACGTTTTTTTTAAAAAAAAAGTCTAACATTAGACACTCAACTCCATATTTAGATTCCTGTCTGATTTTCAAGAGTGTTGAGCACCTCAAAATTCCCACCGACATTAATAAGAGTTGGTGGGTGCTCATTGAAAAGGGTGAACCAAATATGGACTTTGGAGTCTAATTTTAGATTTCTTGATTTGAAAATTTTGGCTTCTTCTGATACATTATAAGTGCCTGTGAGATCATGAACATTAGTGTGAAAACCAAAGGAGGACCAGGATAGAGCTTCTGTAAAAAGTCAGCCATCATTAGAGCTTCTATAGAGTGGTTATTTCATTCTCTTTTCTTTTCCCCAAAAATCTTTGTATGACTCTGTGTAGGAATCTCAACTCCTCTGTTTCTCAGCCAATTTTAGAAAATCAAAAGTAGATTCATCAGCATCCATTTGCTATAAACTTCTTGACCTTCAGTAATGGAGTTTCCTCAGACCAGGATACAGTTACTACCTAGTAAATAGGAAGAACCATCAAATTATTTAAATACAGACCTTTGTGCATCAGTCAGAACTGATTTTGCTCACTACCCACAATTAATTTCAGGAAGCAAAGAAATACTCTCTCATTTTCCTGGCATTAGATCAGGGTAAGCAGATGCCTATGCCTGCATGGAGTTCCACTGAATTATATGGGGCTCCACGCTGTATCAAGGGTCAGCTCACGTGGATCCAACTGCAGGATCGGGGCCTTAGAGACAAATAGTGACCTGCATTTGGTATAACTGTTTTATACAAAGTAGCAATAGAAAATTCAACAAAAAATTCCAAACTCCATATACACACTTCTCCTTACACAATCTTTAAAAAGATTATTTTAATTCACTAACACAATCTTAAACTTCAGTCCCAGAAAATGAAATTTACAACTGCCAATTAATGGACCCAGGAGGTGGGGGGGAAGAGGGATATAAAACATATTACATTTTTTGTTGCTCAGAACACAATGAAGCTGAACTTCTAGTTCTCAGACCATAGTATGCTTATGTGCTTTTATCACTGAAATGAAGCATCTTTAAATACTCAAACTCTGAATGAATTAAAGTGATATTTACCTCACCACATATACTTCCACGCTATTGTTCTGTAGTAGTACAGAGAACAAAAACCCTTAACAATCCTGTTAGAAGGTTCTTCTAAGTAAATATACTAATTAATATGAAGTAAATTATGAAAAGTAGACTAACATACATCTGCGTAGCTGCTCACACCTGCAGCCAAAGAAAGTGAAATTCAGCTTTATCTACTCCTCATTTTCCCTTTTAAATATCCACAGGCCAAGTACAATCATCATAATTTCTTTGACCAGAATGAAGTATGTGCACAAAGTACTGAAAACACTTTGTAAACATAAATTCATGGGGCTTCACAATATTCCCTGTGAGGCTGCTATTATTACTATCACCACCATTTATCATCATGGCCTCTTAATATCTCTTCTAGTCCTACACTTCTGTGATTTTATGGTACGGTAAACTGGGTCACAAAAGTTAAACAGATTGCTCACGGATATAAAGAAAGCCAAGTCTTGCACTCAGAAGCCCCAACTCTAATCCCCCATTCTAACCACTTTAAATACTTCCCAATCCAACAAAAAATAAAAGCAAAGAAAAAAAAACCATACCACTCACAATTTTATCTGAACCATATATCTTTTCCAACTGTTCAGCAACTTCCCGTGTCCCATCTGGGCTTCCATCATCTATGACTATAATTTCAAAGTTGCTTCCACTGAAATGACAATTATTTTGAAATGAACATGTGGGAAGCCAATTTCAGCAGCTATGTTGTTTCAAAAGGCTTGAAACAGGAGAACAAAATGCAGAATGGTCTGCTAGCAGCTAGAAATACAAAAAGTTGCAGCTTTTAGAGACATGTTTGAATGTATTCCTGTTTCACTTGCATCTTAAATTGCAGTTGCTTCACAGCAAATTGAAACAGTACCAGCCTGTTCATCATCTTACTACAAGACTCATTTCTAGTCCCAAGCCTATGAGACTCTGGATATTAAAATGATCATTGGTCCCTTGATCTAGTAATTTTTCCTCATAGTGGTGCAGGGGTGATTACAAATGCTAGATTTGTACTCAGTTTACTGTAATTTTGTTTCCCTAAATAGTCACAGTGGGGGGAAAAAAGGAACTCTTCACTGTTAGAGGAGAGGCACAATTAGCTACAGCACTTTCTACTGCTAACAGAAAGATTTAGAATTTTCACACCATGAATGACTTTATTATCCCTCTAGGCTATTGCTAGTAGTTTATAAATTCTTATGAACTGGGACCAACTAGTTATATGAATATTTATGCTCAGATTTTCAAAAATCTGTGTGTGTGTGTGTAACTATGTAAAAAGCCAAAGAGCTCCGAAAAGCAGCCCCAGACTTAATTGTGAGCTTCTTGGGGCAGGCACCGCAATTTTGTTCTACGGGTGTGACCCCAACACGATGGGGGCCCGTGTTAGGCACTACCACAAAACAAACAGTCATGTTAAAACCTACGGCCCCGCAGCCCCGTGAAAAGTGACGCTGGAGAGGTTACTAACGCGGAGCGCCCGTGTCCGCAGGGAGGTTCCGCTCACACCGCAGCAGCGGTCCCGGCGGCCGGAGCTCGGCGAGCTGCAACGGCGGCCGACCCGGGCTCCGCAGCTCGGCTGGACTGGCCCGTCCCTGCTACGAGCGGCCGCACTCTGCCAGCGTACGGTCAGCCCCCGCGGGGATCCCCGCACAGAGGCGCCGGGTCCAGCAGGCTCCCGGGGGCAGGGACCCCGACTGAGCGCGGCGCCCACGCAACACCGTTCTGGGGCGGGAGCGCAGGCCGCGGCGCGGCGTCAGGCACGGGTGGGCGGGGGGAGCCGGGCCCGGGGTACCTCTCTTGGAAGCTCCGCACCAGCAGCCAGACGATGAGCGGCAGGTTCTCGCGCTCGTTGTACGTGGGCAGCAGCACCGAGTACTTATCCCGAGCCCGGTTCCGGCTGGCCGCGGCCATGGCGGGGCCACAAACTACCCGGAACTAGGGGAGCGGTTACTACACTCGGGGAATGAAGCAGCCAATGCGCAGCTACTCCGACGTGTGCGGAATGGGTCGGGCTGTCACCGGACCTGTTAGGGTGTTGGACCGGAAGCGGAAGTGTCCCTCACCTCGCGGCGCTTTGCGGGCCGGGCTAGGCGCGGGTTGCTTGCCCCTTCTCTCCGGTCATGCCTCTGAGCGAGGCGGCCCGGCTCCGGGCCGAGATAGACCGGAGGGAACAGGAGCTGCGCGCCCTGCAGGGGCAGCTGGCCGCCGTCCTGGCGAGAGAGGCCGCTGAGGAGCCGGCGGCGGGGCCGGAGCTGCCCCCCTTGGAGGCGAGGGCCTCCCTCAGCCCGGCGGAGATCCGGCGCTACAGCCGGCAGCTGGTGCTTCCCGAGCTGGGAGTGCGAGGGCAGCTGCGCCTGTCCCGCTGCGCCGTGCTGGTGGTGGGCTGCGGCGGGCTGGGCTGCCCCCTGGCCCAGTATTTGGCGGCCGCCGGCATCGGCCGCTTGGGGCTGGTAGATCACGATGTGGTGGAGATGAGCAACCTGCACCGGCAGGTCCTGCACGGGGAAGCTAGGGAAGGGCTGCCTAAGGCCCTGTCTGCAGCTGCCTCCCTTCGGCAGCTGAACTCCACGGTGCAGTATGTGCCCTACCACCAGGCCCTGAGCCCAAGCACTGCCCTGGAGCTGGTCCGGCAGTACGACGTGGTGGCCGACTGCTCAGACAACGTCCCCACCAGGTACCTGGTCAGTGATGCTTGTGTCCTCGCTGGGAAGCCGCTTGTATCAGCCAGTGCTCTCCGGCTGGAGGGGCAGCTGGTCGTGTACAACTACCAAGGGGGACCCTGCTACCGCTGTCTCTTCCCAAAGCCTCCTCCACCGGAGACAGTGACCAACTGTGCAGATGGGGGAGTCCTGGGCGTTGTGCCAGGCATCATGGGGTGCATCCAGGCCTTGGAGGTGCTGAAGATAGCTTCAGGGATAGGTTCTACCTTCAACCAGTTCATGCTAATGTTCGATGCCCTTGAAGGCAGATTTCGCAACATCAAGTTAAGACCCAAGAAGCCAGACTGTGCCATTTGTGGTGACAAGCCAGCTATGACCAGCCTACAGGATTATGAAGCATTCTGTGGTTCATCAGCAACAGACAAGTGTAGAACTTTATGCCTACTGCCAAGTGAACAAAGGATATCTGTCGAGGAATACAAAAAGCTACTGGATGAGCAAGTCCCTCATATACTGGTAGATGTTCGTCCACAGGTAGAAGTGGACATCTGTTATCTTGTACACTCTATCCATATTCCTTTAAGTAAACTAGAGGGAAAAAATGAAGAATGTTTGAAATTTTTAGAAAAGAGAATATGTGAAGAAAAGCAAAGAACTAATGGCAAAACGGCTTTCCCAGTATATGTTGTTTGCAAACTAGGAAATGACTCCCAGAAAGCTGTGCGAGTTTTACAGGAGTTGCCTGACAAAGAACTTGGTTCGATATTGGCTAAGGATATCAGAGGGGGGCTTATGGCTTGGGCTAGCAAAATCGATCCATCGTTTCCCCAGTACTAACATTTTACATATCCAAATAGAAATTATCATAAATTTCTACTGCTAAATGGTCTAGTTTTATATCTGCTCGGTTTAGTAACTACTATTGTGCATGTACAAAATGGGGAGAAGATACCACAAAGTTATGTATTAAGTGCTTTCCATGTTAACTTCTAAAAATTCTGTATATGTTTGAAATTAATTTCTCCTAACATTCTAAATGTTTGTATAAAAGAAATAATACACTTGGGTTTTTTTGGTTTTGAATTGTGGAAGTTTGGTCTAGTGAATTGAACATGGATGTGGGAACTACTGAGTAGCAATTCTGGTCCTGAAAGTGACTCACTTGATGCACTTTGAAAATCTTTACCAATTCACCTATTGCTGGTATAGCATCATTTCAGCTCCCTTGATACTAACAATGGTGACAGCTTTAAGGGTGCAGTGGTAAAAATTGCACTAGCACTTCCACCATTGATATGCATCACCCTGGATGTTCAGTGATAGACCACTGAGATGACACGAAGCTGGAAGGCGTTGCAAGCACTTCAGAGAACAGAACTAGAATTCACAATTATCTTGATAAATTGGAGAATTGGTCTGAAACAACAAGATGAAATTAAATAAAGACAAGTTGAAAGTACTACACTTAAGAAGGAAAAATCAATTGTATTCATACAAAAGGGGAAATAACTGGCTAGGCAGCAGTACAGCAGAAAAGGATCTGGGTTTATAGTGGATAACAAATTGAATGAGTCAACAGTGTGATGCTGTTTCAAAAAACACAATTGCCATTCTGGGATGTATCAAAAGGAATGTCCTATGTAAAACATGGGAGGTAACTGTTCTGCTGTGCTCTTTAGTCGTGAGGCCTCAGCTAGAATATGGTGTCCAGTTTTGGGTGCCAAACTTTTAAGAACAATGGACACATTGGAGAGAGTCCAGAGGAGCGCAACAACAATAAGATGTTTAAAAACCATTACATATGAAGAAAGGTTGAAAGAACTGGGCATGGTTAGCCTAGAGAAGAGAAGGCTGAGGGGGAACATAAGTCTTCAAACATGTGTAAAAGATTGTTGTGAAGAGGATGGTGATCAGTTGAATAGGAATAGGATAGGATAAGAAGTAATAGGCTTAGTTTGCAACAAGTGGGATTTATGTTGGATATTGAGAAAAACTTTCTATAAGGCTAGTTAAGCACTGGAACAGGTTACCTAGGGAGACTGGAATCCCCATCCTTGGAGATTTTTAAGAACAAGGTTAGCCAAAACACCTGTAGGGGATGGTCTAAGTATACTTAATCCTGCCTCAGTGTAGAGGGAATGTACTAGATGACATCTTGATGTCCCTTCTAGTGCTGCATTTCTATGAAGGCCACTTTAAACAAGTCACTTAATTTTTTTTTTAGTTTTTACACCTATAATATTGCTTCACAGCTGCTGCTCTTTCTAGTGCTGTCTGAGAATGAAAAGTGTGATGTAAGTGTTGAGTATTATGAAAGACAAATTATCACTGCACCAGGACAAGGACAGTAGAGCTACCACACTCACTGTAACAAAACCACAGAGAATCACTTCCTTGTTCACAGACTTCCTGGAATGCAGCCAAGTATAAAGCTAAACTCCAGGTCTCATGACATCTCTATAGTACCAACTATACTAGAACCTTTGTAGACTGCTCTAAAAGCAGCTTTAAAAAAAAAAAATTTGCAATTAAATTGAATAATAGAATTAAATATTCTTAAAAAAAATTACACACAGTTGACCAGAATCAGTTTCATATATGCATGCTTATTTGACTTGGGTGGCAGTTGTAAGTGTGTGTAGTTTGAAAATTTGTGTAAAGGATATGTAAAATATAAAATGGTTTGTACACTGATCTAAAACTATTAAGCACTATAGAAGTGCTACATATTGGGGGTTTTGGTCAGTTTAGTTTATATGGAGTTTTTTACTGTATTCAGATTTCATTCAGACATTTGATGATGGATGTTGTTGCCTCTATATGAATTTGCAGCTGGGGGTATACCCAGAAACTCTTTTGGGCAGCACTGGTCTTGTTTCTCTGGGCAGGAAAGAAGAATAGGGTGTTATGAAGGGTAAGCATTAAAAAGACCAAAAGCTCTAGTTCAGAAAGGGTGCACAACAAAGAGCTTGCTAGAAGATGTTAGGAAAGGACCCTAGCGAAGTCTGGGTAGCGCTTTCACAAATTGATAGTGCAGGGTGTAGAGAAGATAAGAATATGAAACACCCTTTCCTAGTCCTAGGGCCTCATATTCATTAACATTGAAAATCTCAATAATCTGTCAGCTGTAACAGTTGGTTATCTGTTCCCCAAAGTGCAGAAGAACTTTAATTGGCATGGACAGATATTTGTGTCTGAATAGCTATTCCTGTCTGACCGGGAGAAAGAAATAACCAACTCTAATAGCGAAGCAGTATGAACCTCTTCACTTGCACATAGAAATTATCTTTTAAAGATTTTAATTAAGGTATGGATTTCCTTTACATTCTGGGGAGAAAAAAAGCCCACCTGTTGTGACTAATCTTTGCTCTGCACAAAAGGAAAGAAATGCAGCACTACCAATATTATAGCTGAAAAAGCATAACTTAATAGCACAAATTGTAGTATACCCATACCCTATCTACTTTATTATAAGATGCCATAGGTCCTAGCACTACAAATCTATATACTCTGTTGTGAAGGAAACGGTTTAATGAATGTATAAATACAGGGCCATACCTCTTTCAATTTAAAGTACAATGAAAACATCTAAGGCCAAGATTTTCAACAGGGATTAGTGATTTTTGGGTTCCCATCTTGAGATATATTAATGGGCTTTAATTTTTCAGAGGCTGGATGGAATCCTGAAAATCGCCTCTGTGGGGTGTCAATTGTTGGGAATCTGAAAACAGAGAAACCCAAAATCATTAGTCACTGTAATAGCAAGAAGGAAAACATAATCCAAACACAAACATAGAAGATGAGAAGGATAGAGCTTCCTCAGTACCAAAGGTCTCTCTGCATATCCAGCAGGTGATTGAGTGTCTGGATGCCTACTTGATGTGAGCAAATAATTTCTCTTCAGTAATCCAAAGGCAATGAAAATCCACTATTCACAAGGTTCTGACTGCTATTCTTTGGTGGAAAATTCCTCTCTGATCCTAAATCTGGTGGTATATTAATTCCAGTGCATGGGAATAGGAATCACCATTGTAAAGCATTTTATTACATTTTTACCTCAATCTGCCATTGCTAGCAGAAATTATACATAAACTGAAAGAAATAGAAGGTGAAATCAACCAAATAAAGCCTACCCAGTTTGATACAGGAGATCTCTGTAACCAGAGTCTTTGCATCAAATCAGCAAATAGGAAACCAAAATGTAAACATTCGTTCTGTTTTATAGCAAACAATATTCTACTTGTGTGCCAAGGCCTGGAGGGCTCCATGTGAAAAAGCAAGGCTTCAGATGAATAAGAG